ATATTTTTCCATAGTTCAAACAAAGAACGATTGTATGTTGGTCTGTTTCAGATCGAATGCAAGTGGTAGATACGACTGACGGTCTTGAATTTTGATTAAAAAAAAAACCGACAGACAGACACACGAGTGATCCTATAACGGTTCCGTTTTTTATTCGGACGTACGGAACCCTAACCAGAGAACCAACTTAACATTGTACGTAGTTTAAAAGACACATGTTCTTCTATTCATTCAAACTGCATTCGCACAATATTGTTTTGTTCAAAGATTTACTACGTTATGTTCAGGCCATAGACTTCTTATTAATTTTCCTATAATCTATGAGTAAAGAGCTATTTTCTGTATTTTTTTCAAAATTTTAGGTTCAACAGTTTTGCAGATAAGGGGGGCAACATTATTTATTTTAAAATTATAATTATATATTTCCGATCCTTACAACAATCACTTTCATTTGATATGCCACACGGTACAATTTGCAAAAGTTTTTCTTTTAATTTTCTATTAGCCCCTCAAAAATGACCCCCATGTTCAAATGTAATTTATTTACGTTATGCGTCCGTGTTAGGGTCACAGAAATTCATAGGTCTACTAAATTTCAACTTCATCGGTCTAGTAGATTCGGACAGACAGACATACGAGTGATCATATAAGGATTCTGCTTTTCATACGGGCGTCCGGAACGCCATGGATTTTACAGACACGATGAGAAGGATGTCAGTTTTGCAACATAGTCCCTGCTGTTACTACTGCGCTGTCTGTACCTGACAGGATTGTTTCTAGCACTCCTCAGCGAATCTTGGCGTTATGGGGGGTTAACTGAATCTAAATGTATGTATACGTGATAGGGGTGTGACCAAATTAATAAAGAACAATAACATGACCCACATTGATTTAGCTGAACAAGGTTGATACCTTAATGAGACTGTCTAAAAAACTGTCAAGCGAGAACAGCCCCATCACAAAATCGCAAAAAGGTTCACATGGAATTTGGTGCTCTAGTCAAAATTTTAGTTCTCCTAATGTTAGTATGCGATATTGCCAACGAAGGTATACCGTATCTGGTACCTACAAAGTGTTAAAACTCTATTATTTATAACTTTAATACATTTTTATTTATTTAAATTCTTAGTGAAATTCTGTATGCTAAAATATAAGTAATTTTAGTGTGTTAAATTCAATAAAATATAGGAACAGGATATTTGCAGACGATATAAAATACGACTCCTCATGTGAGTTGTAAAAAATGACATAAAATCGAAACACAGTAAAACGATCAGTTTCACTTTGGTTTCCGTGTGTTCTTTCGAATCGGAATCGTAAATAAATTCATACATCAACATTTTTAAGGCAGTCTTCAATTTTTTCATGACTCGTAAAAACTTTGCCTTGTGGTGGTCAAGATGAATAATATTTATGTAAAACGAAATGGTTAACAATAACAGTAGATATTTTAAGCGCAAGTTTTATTATTTATTTATTTAACTGTATTAATTTCAAATTAAAAACCAGGAAACCAAATATAGTATAAACTCTTTATAACGCCACTCAATTTAACGACAAACTCCTTAAAACGTCGAAATTATTTGACTTTGGTTGCTTTACATTGTTTTCTATAGAATATTACACTCTATATAGCGTCACGCTCACTCTATTTAACGACAACAATGCGGCATTATAAATCATTGAGCAGTACTAACTNGAACAGCCCCATCACAAAATCGCAAAAAGGTTCACATGGAATTTGGTGCTCTAGTCAAAATTTTAGTTCTCCTAATGTTAGTATGCGATATTGCCAACGAAGGTATACCGTATCTGGTACCTACAAAGTGTTAAAACTCTATTATTTATAACTTTAATACATTTTTATTTATTTAAATTCTTAGTGAAATTCTGTATGCTAAAATATAAGTAATTTTAGTGTGTTAAATTCAATAAAATATAGGAACAGGATATTTGCAGACGATATAAAATACGACTCCTCATGTGAGTTGTAAAAAATGACATAAAATCGAAACACAGTAAAACGATCAGTTTCACTTTGGTTTCCGTGTGTTCTTTCGAATCGGAATCGTAAATAAATTCATACATCAACATTTTTAAGGCAGTCTTCAATTTTTTCATGACTCGTAAAAACTTTGCCTTGTGGTGGTCAAGATGAATAATATTTATGTAAAACGAAATGGTTAACAATAACAGTAGATATTTTAAGCGCAAGTTTTATTATTTATTTATTTAACTGTATTAATTTCAAATTAAAAACCAGGAAACCAAATATAGTATAAACTCTTTATAACGCCACTCAATTTAACGACAAACTCCTTAAAACGTCGAAATTATTTGACTTTGGTTGCTTTACATTGTTTTCTATAGAATATTACACTCTATNTATGTAAAACGAAATGGTTAACAATAACAGTAGATATTTTAAGCGCAAGTTTTATTATTTATTTATTTAACTGTATTAATTTCAAATTAAAAACCAGGAAACCAAATATAGTATAAACTCTTTATAACGCCACTCAATTTAACGACAAACTCCTTAAAACGTCGAAATTATTTGACTTTGGTTGCTTTACATTGTTTTCTATAGAATATTACACTCTATATAGCGTCACGCTCACTCTATTTAACGACAACAATGCGGCATTATAAATCATTAAGCAGTACTTTCTAAGTTGCCGAAATAGATAAGAACTGCAGCTGTGTACGTTGTTGAAGAAGACGATCATGTCCCTCCACCAAGCATCAAACAAGCACTTGATGCAGCGAAACTATTAAAAAAATACTTTTTATATAATCAAATTGATCCAACAGTATCTCAAGATATGAGTAAGATGCGTAACAAAATACAATTAAAATATTGGAGCAGCGAAAAACATCAGACGAAGATAACAGGCTATACGCAATGAATGAATAATAATGTTCGTGTGCAAAATGTTTACTATATTGGTAAATGCATATTATTATAGAATAGTAAAATAATATTTTTTATTTCTCTCCATTTAACCACCACTCTTTTGACGCCGAAAAATGTTTAATCCCTTAAGTATCGTTATATAGAGTTTACACTGTATAATGTATTTGGGCAGAGTACACACACACTTGCGACTAAATCGTACGGTGATTTCGTTTTATTTAAATTCTTTCAACTGATTAACAGCATTTAACTTATGTTTTTTTCTCGATGTTGATACCTTTTTGCAATTTACGACACACCAACGACGTCCCAGATTTACTGCTTTCCAGTTTTATTATTCATTATTTACAGTTTATACAGTTATATTATTCACCCTGTCATTCTGGCTGCATTAATTAGGTACTACAATTATATTAACAGCGAACACAGATGTTATAATACGTGTTTGATGATATTTCAGATGATTATGAAGAAATTAAATAATAATAATATATGATTCAGTTTAATATTAATATTTTTACCTAGGCCATCTGTGAAACTTGGATCAAAACTCTCAGCGAGTGTTAAGTTATAAAGATATGATTCCTTAAAATTGGATTCCTCCAAGGACTCCCAAGGTACAATTATACCTTTGCACGGAACCCTCGGTGCGCAAGTCCGATTCGCACTTTTCTTTTTCTTTGATTTGTGATTTTCTTTCTAGTTTTAGAATCATCTTCGAATAAAGAATGGACTGATGACTTTGTGATTATAGTTAAGTTACTTATTTTATAATGCGATTCAGGCCGAGGATGAAGTTGTAATTAGTAATAACTAATTCTTATTTCATTTCTATTCAATTTTTGTTTTAATGCATCCTTTTTTAATTGCTACTATCAGTGTGTAAATGTAAATTATTTTAAAAGGGAAGCGAGATATATATGATATTACAATCCATGATTTCGTTGGTGTTATGAATGTGTCAAAACTTCCTTCATGTTTTACAACGTAATCGTTTGATTGAAGTAACATATCATAACGGACAAGCTAATACATAATCCGCATAGCGAATATGGGAAAATAATTGAGGTCTAGAGGGATAAAAGAAAACCGGGGCACCCTTGTACGGCACTTAAATTTTCCCTGCAGATAAAGTAATCAGCGACAAAGCCTCAATTCTGGCTGTACGCTTATCGTCGTGGAGCGTTAAAATATTACTTCCGAAGGTGCGATTTAGCTTTTCATCCGATTTTTATTAGGGGTAACGTCACTGTAGGTTTTGGTCGACGCGACGGGCGCCCCGGGCATGAAACTAGATCGTATCGTTGCCGGCAAACGACGGATGAAGGAAAAAATACTGGAAGCACGACATTTTTTTCGCCTTTTAAATAATAACCCTCGAATAATTCGATTCGTCACGATTTCCAGGTGACAGATAAGGGTGAAAAATTAGCCTAAGGTATTTCGGACGACATGATGTTTATGTAGGTATATAGAAGAGACGCTAAAAAAAATAATAATTGAAAACAAGAAAGTTTATGTGGGAAGGGTGTCGAAAGGACTTGTAACATGGAGGCTGACTTTTCAAGAAGATCGATGATTTAGGCAGTTTCTAGTATATATAAGGGGGGGGGGGGCAAACTGCGACTCTTTGAAGAATTAAATCCGAGTTTATGTAATAAATAAATGTTTTGTCTTTTAATAATATGATACACTTGCTGTTTCTTTAATTGCATTTTTCATTTTTTTCAAATTTGGAACAACATAATTTGTGCTAAATTGTTTACCTTTTCCGTTAGATTGAAAAAATTACCATCCTAAATACCGTGTAAGTACCGAAGGATTATTTTAATACTTTGGTTATAGTTAATTATTTATAGGAGTTTGTAAACGAATAATTGACAATAATAAAATTAAAGAATTTGAACTATTTTTTGAGACATAAGGACACAATTGCATTAAAATTATTAAAATAAGAAAAAAATCGTTTCCCAAAATCGCTTGATGTCTTACTAAGCTGATCTAATTATTATTACTGTTATTATCCTGATATTTTCACTCATTGATCTAGAAAATGCTATAAAAACAGAGGTAAATAACTTACGTTGATAACAACCCTCTCACAGAAATCGTGGTCGTGTGGAATGGGCTCAAAATGGGTCACGCCAGTGTAGTGGGAGTGGGGGGTGTGCCCGTCCTCTTCCTGGCTACTGAGCTTGGGCAGCGACCTTAAAAAAAGAGAAAACCAAAATTGGAATCCAATCTAATATAACATAAACAAACTATCAACTGGAAGAAGTCTATTAATACTGGGAAGTTTTCAAACTGAAAAAGGGGTTCCACAAGATTGGACTACTATTATGCTTATGTTCCTTGGTATATATATCAGACAATTAAAATTATAGATTATAAAACTCGACACTTTAAATAATAAATGTAATAAATAAATTACAGGGTTACAGACATCTTACGGTGCATCATATGCCATTAGTAAAAATAGCTTTATGATAAATGTTATGGTTTGCTTCAGATGACTTAATTAATCTTAAAATGAAAATAAATGCAGCAAACGTAGTCCAGCATATAAATTTTTGCAAAGCAACTTGCTTAATAATAACCTTATTCCAGGAGGTCACTAGTTTGTTTGAAGATTTCTGAGGCTACGGCCATCTGGACATCTGTTCAGTGTTAAACCGTACTAACGTACGCCTCTTTATTACGCATTGTTTGAAGAATTAATTAATGTTTAAAACAGAATAATTTGAATTTTATATGCTCGATGCTACAAATGAATGAACCAAAGCTCATAAAAATATAGGGAAATTTATTTCCTTGGAGATAAACGAGAATGAATAATGTAGCAACAGGAATAATTTCGTTTAAAATGAAATTCTTGGTAATCTTAATCAATAATCTAATTAACCGTTAATTTATTTCAGTTTCGTTAATGTTTAACATTTCTGGTCATAAATNTAACCCTCTAAAATTCGATTTTCGCGAAATCCGGTTTTTAGTGCGCCGTTATGAAGTAGAAAGAATATGTTGTCAAAATGGACCTAATAGTGAAGTCAGTTACTCAGGACAATCACCGTAATACTTAATATATTGTTTTAGTGTCCGACCGAAAGTTCGGTTTCGGTCGAGTTTCGATAAAAAAACGAGTTTCGGTTTAGTTTCGGTTTCGACGGCAAACCTGCCGAAATTATGACCGAAACCGAAACTGCGTTCGGGAGTTCTCGCGCTCTGCTTGGTCATGTTCGGCGCGTTAAATTCCATCCAAGCGAAGTATACTATACTCAAATAAACATCTCACCTATTTTAAATATTTTTAAGTAATTCCTTAAATGAGGGGTTGTTATGTTGATTTTGATTTGATTATCAATAAATGAAAATGTCAAAGACTGCAGAGCTGTGTGATTTAAAGATAAAAAAATAATACTGACTGATTATAATAACGTTTTCTTTATTTTTCTCTCAAAACATGATCCTTATAAGGAAGTTTCGGTTTCGGTTTCGGTTTCGGCCGAAACTGAGACCATTGCCAAAATTCGGTTTCGGTTTCGGTAGTAAAAACCAGTTTCGGTCGACCACTATATTGTTTAAAGAAGAAACATTTTAGAATATTACGTTCATTAATAAAGTGTGCGCAACGATAGGTCATGCGGCTCACGCGTTTTTAACTAAAATCCATACATTTACGTCGGTATAACCAATTCTATCTTAACATGTAATCTAATCTATTCCAATAAAAGAATGAGGGGAGGGGTTGTAACATACAAAAAGACGAAAAGAACTCCACAAATCTGATACTACATAGGTGAATATTTCTAGGGCTAACGTTAAAAACGAGAAAAAAGCATCCCTATCGTTCATTTTTCTATTTACTTTTCTTTTGAATTTCTGGAAAGTCATTAAGACGTCTATCTAGCCACTTAAATTCATCATAAAAATTAAAAGCGTTACGAGGCTGTGATGTAGCGTTAGATGGATGAACATGAAGAAATTGTAAGAGACCTTAATGACTTTGCAACCCTAAAAATAAAACTCATTTCAAAGTCGCAATTAGAAATAATGAAATAGAGTTTTTAAGAGTTTTAATAGGTTGAAAACTAGTGGTACGCAAAGAAATTGTTTCGAAGAAACAGGCAGTTAAGGAAAATAGGCAATTACGCTGTATAGTTGTATGTATAGTACTTTTATCCAACTCAATAAATCAGTCAGTTTACTTTTGCTTTTATGTGGTTAGTTTTGTTACTTCGTTAAACTTTAACACAGTAGGTATATTTAACTTCTTTACAAATTATGGCATGTCTCATACGTGCCAAAATTAAGCGTTACACAATAAAAAATTATGCAAATTGCTATGATAAAATCGCGCACTGACGGAAATCATTCAAGATCAGATCAACGTTGACATTTCTAAACAAAATCTATATACTTAAAACTTAATAGTAAGATTCGTTTTACGATTAAAGAGTTTGTACTGTATTTTTCATTAATGCTTGACTTTCGGTAACAATTTTATTTATTATTTTTACTTTTTCTATATTCAAGGGAAAAACTTATCTAATTTTCCTTACTCAACATTTTCAAGATAGACCTTTTGGGAACAATTTTCCCCATTTTCTCCCTCCTTGTATCCACCAGCGGTTTTAACATTGCTTTACTACGTAACATTATACAATAGTAATGACGAAAAAATATTTTAATAAATTACAAAAGAAAAACAGTATGCACCTACATAGAGAAAACTAAATTTTTATGACAACGCAAATAAGAAATTTTTAATTGTAAATGACTGAATTTCCCGTAGAAATAGTAGAATTTATTAAGTAACTTGTAATAATCTCAATCTTGACATGCTTCTTTAAAAATTTCGGTGATGCCGAATTCCCNTGTAATATCAACTAAAATATCTAGTAAATTTATTTCTGCTGGGATTTTATTTAATTTACAAATTTGATTTCTTTTTAAAACAAATATTTTTTAATTAAAATAAAAAACACTACATTCAATCAATCATTTCCGGTAGCAGTCGGATGTTACCAATCGATAGATTCCGAAAAGATCACTTTGCCAAAGAGATGAACGGGGTGGGGGGTTAAAAATACTCATACTATGTAATAATTACATTAATTTATTTAGTCAATACTCACTAATCTTCATAGTTACGACATTATCAGTGCAAATTAGTGAATATTAATTGAATCAATCAGCAATGAGTGAACTACTGAAGTACTAATGAGTAGCAACTAATTTATCAGATACTTTTTAGTTGAATGGGAAGAAAGTTGAAAAGTTATATTATTATAATGAGAAATTAATACGGGTATCTTAATTAGTCGGAAATATTCAGTTTACAGAATACATGTAGATACGCGGGTCGAATAAATGTCAGCAAGTTTTTACCTTTCAATTTTTTTATTGACTCTGATAGGACACAATGTTATTTCCAAGCATTCTTCCATTGGCAGTACGAAACAAAAACAAAAAAACAGCCGGTTTCACAACGTATGCACGTATTTCACACCTACACACCGTGTTACACAGAAGCGGATAATTAAACGTTCGGTTCGATTACCACATTGACAACAGTTTTACTTAGAAGAGTATAACAAAGGAAATGGCATGTTATACAATGAATGTGTAAACAGTGAGGAACGAGGACAAAACATTTGTATTATGGCAAAATGTATTAAAAGCGTCCGACTCTTTCGTTCCGTTACCTAACAAATTGTGTCCATACTTACTACATGTGTTTTTCAGTTGTTTTAACAAATTTAAATTGAAATGGGAAACAATAATTGCGTAGGTAGGTGTATGTATAAAATTAAATTTGTTTGTGTGAATTAGTCCAGTTATTATAGTACAAAACTTTTAATATAAGTACCGCCTTGAAAAGTAGGTTCCAGGGTGTAAAATATCAAAAATAGCCCAATTAATGTCAGTTTTTCAATTTGCAATTTACAGTCTTTTTTTTCGCATTTATCTTAAACTAGCTTTTCCCCGCGGGTTCGCTCGCAGAAATTAATATTGTTTCTCCATAAAACCTTTTAATTCCCAATTCACCCTTACAACGTTTTAATTTTATATAATATCGCCATCTTAGATTTTAAATACAAACGTAGCGACAACATTTCATCCGTAAGGGTTGATTTTTAAAAATTGTCAAAACACGTATTTGTTTAATTTCAACAATGAGCAACCTTCGAATAAAATATACCCCATGGAAACATTGTAACCTCTTTTCATTTGATTAATAGTATCAAACAGCATATATAGTAAGCTTCAAGTAAATTCAACCACAAATACAGTATGTCCCAAACAAAAATTTCAACACCTTTTTACCCCCCGCCCTTTAGAGGCTAAATTTTTTAAAATGTCGAGATACGTTTTTCAGAAATTAAATGAGAGACCATTAAGACCAAATTTGCAACTCCTCTTCACCGCTCATCCCCCCCCCCCAACAGAGATTGATTTTTTTAACCAGTTTCAAGTAAATCGAACCAAAAACAAACATGCAATCTTTGCTAACCCCTTTCAGCTTCTTAAAGAGGTAGAGTTTTGTAAAATGTTGAAATAGGTTATGTATGTCACTAATTTTATATGAAAAAGCATTAAAGCCAAGTCTCAGGTAAATCTGATTATAAATAAAACACCACACTTAACCATAGACATTACGTTTAGATGTTAGTTGCTTTTTGTTATTGCATGTCAGTTGCGTTTTGTTATGCCATTTTTAACAAATGAACGGCTAGACTGATGATTTGATTTATAAATTTTTCGTTTTACTGTCATTTACGTTTTGTCATTCCATGTCAGTTGAGTTTACATATACCACGTTTTTCTCGTGAAACGTGATAAAAAGTATCCTATGTCCTTCTCCTATGTCCTTCTCCCGGTTCTGAGCTACCTCCCTACCAATTTTTAGCCAAATCGGTTCAGCCGTTCTTGAGTTATAAATGGCGTAACTAAGACGACTTTCTTTTATATATATAAGATATCATCAGTATATATCGTAAGTTAACAATGATGTAACATGTTGAGAATTGTAAATAAAATAAAATTTGAAACGTCTCAGTCGGAGTTTTTTCACCACTAGAAAAATGCGAAAATTCTCTGCAAAAATATAATTTTTAAAAAACTTAACTTCCCTAGTTTGATGTTTCCATCATCAGTCTTCCGAGAAAAGCGGTGACCGTTGTGCAAAATTAAAGGTCAAATTTTT